ATGGATATCTGGGGAGGAGAAACTTTGGTGAGAGAATAAAAATTAAAGATATTGCATTATGATGATTTATTAATAGAAATATCATTTCGAACTTGGATGTGTGGTGGATCACTAGAGATCATCCCTTGTTCTAGAGTTGGCCATGTATTTAGGAAAAGACATCCGTATGTATTTCCAGGAGGCAATGCAATGACTTATATGAAGTTAGCTTGAATGATTATTAATATGTGATATTTGAATGATTGTTAATATGTGATATAATTATGACTCTTGTATTTTGTTTATTAATAGAAATACAAAACGTGCTGCTGAAGTGTGGATGGACAATTACAAAGATTATTATTATTCTGCAAGACCATCAGCAAAGGGAAGAGACATGGGCAGGTACATGTATGATAGATTAATAGTACTGTGAGTAGTATCAGGGTTTTATTTGAATTGTAAGACCAGTGCAGGGTAGTTTGACAAAAATCATAAGGAAAGAATTCTCCATTTTTATAATTTTTCCTGACACATATAGACGTCCTTATGCTGTGTATCAACTTTGTGCTGATTCCCATTGAAATTGGATTTGTTACGAATTTTTTAACTTACTTCAAATGCCATGTACTGTATTGTAGTGCTTGCCAGCTCATGAAACATGCTGTTTAGCTCACTTAGCATGCTTTGTGGGAAACCCTGATTAGTATGACATTGTCATTATACTGTATTTGTAGCATCAAGAGTCGTGTGGCATTAAGGAAACGATTGAATTGCACCACTTTTGATTGGTACATGAAGAATGTTTATCCAGAGCTAAGGTATAAACAATGTGTAATACACTGTACTCCTATCACTAATTATTAGTGTTCCGTCTTCTACTAATAACAAACATGGAAAGTTAAAGCAAAATAATCTTTGTTTGGATACACTTGGACATCAAGCTGGTGAACCTGTTGGACTACAAGATTGTCAACAAAGTAGACAAGGATATCAGGTACAGTGATGACAACTGAGGGTGTACATGTACCTTTACATCAAGGTTTCCCACAAACCATGTTTCATAGCTGACAAGCCTTACAATATAGCATATGGCTTTTGGAGCAAATTCAAAAACTCGCAAAAATCTAATTTTTAAATGAAAAATTTTGTCCTAGCCATTTTTTGTTGAAATACTCTGTACTCTAGAGTTTTTGACCAGATTTAAAATTCGCTGACAAGAAGCTGAGTACTATATACTAGTATTGAGCTTCTTTCTGCTATTATTTCTAGAGTTCAGTATTACTCTTGCTATGGTATTATATTATAGGACTGGAGTATTGCTATGAAAGGACTTATTCGTCATTTAAACTTATGCTTAGAAGCAAGAGGACAGATTGTTCACCTCCAGTATTGCTCTAAGGATCACATTCAAAACTGGGAGCACACTAAGAACAATCATATTGTACACCTTAGCACTAAACTGTGTCTCAGCAGTAGACACTCATTAAATGAACTGACTTTAGAAATTTGTGATGATAAAAGCAATAATCAGCAATGGTTCATAGTATCATGACTTTTAATATATCTCTTTTTGTTATTTAATTGAAAGCTGTTCTTTTGAAACTTATTCCAAACTTATTTCCTGTACTCTAATGCTTATTCATACCGTATAGCTGGAAAAGTTCATGGGAATTATATTTTGCAATTTTGTACCCATATAGCTTATTTTAATGTTTGTGGAATTTAATTTTGCTAGTGTAGGCGTGTACTGTTGATACACCCATTACTTATGATGCTTTGCGGAATTAAATTGTTTTTATGATGAACAGCAAACAGCAAATATTTCCAGCTATACGGTATCTTTCATATGTAGTATCTATGATAATATCTATGGTTTTACCATAGATTTTATAACTACCCTCGCTTCACATCACGCCTACGCGTGGCTCGGGTAATCAGTTTGACTCCATACACCCACCTTGCAAGTGCAACTTGGTCGTTATTAAGACTTATAGAGGCTCTCTCTACCTTGTAATGCTTCTAAAGAAGTCTTGAGACAGTATCAGTATCTTCTCTTGCTGTTAGAAAGCTC